TTGAGATGTCTTAGTCTGTGCTCCTAAATTCATCATTAGGTATAAGGTATGAGACTCTACCCCCTACTACCACCATGTTAGGCTTTTTGCCCTAGCCAGGTAATGAAATGCACAGTTTCACAGCATTTTTAAATATCAGATTGTTTAAGTCTTTAGATACAGACTAGATGAACCTCAGGAATATCATTTAGCAAACACCTGCGATTTTCGTTTTTTACTTACTTTTGCAAAGCAATGCTTAAAGTGAGGTAGTATGCATCAGTTCCTCTATCTCAACCCTGTTTACATCAGCCAGTACTTCAGTGTTGTCATAAGCAAAAGAAATAGTCAGAATGCCAGGAGCAGCAGCCATGTTGGGAACAGATAAGGTAGAGCTGATCAGTGAAGTTCTTCTCACTGAAATCTTGCAGAAGCTGTGGATCAAGATGGGTCCTGAGCCACTGCCTTCCCAAGAACAAAGCTCCTTCCCAGAGCAATGAGAAGACTTTCTTCACAGCAGCTGGAGAAACTGAGCCGAAGTGGCTTGGTGCTGACTGGCCTCATACTGCGTGGGTCACAGGCTTCCAGCAAATTTCTGCAGGCATGGGAATTGCCATCTCCTATGCAAAAGGACTCTGCACACTCCCTTCTCTAAGAGAACATGGGTAAGACACCTCTCCTCATCTCTTACATCCAGGGTATTACTCATAGGTAGGAGCCTAGACATGGTGTTGTGGTTGCAGCTGGAATAAAGTTAATATTCTTCCTAGTAGCTGGTATAGTGCTGTGTTTTGGATTTGGTATGAGACTAATGTTGATAACACACTGTTTTAGTTGTTGCTAAGCAGTGTTAATACTGTCAAGGACTTTTCAGCCCCTCAAACCGCCCTGACAGCAAGCAGGCTGGGGGTGCACAAAGAGTTGGGAGGGAACACAGCAAGGACAGCTGACCCCAGCTGACCAAAGGGATATTCCATACCATATGATGTCATGCCCAGTATATAAACTGGGAGGAGTTGGCTGTGGAACATCACAGCTTGGGCATTGGTTGGGTATTGTTCAGGAGGTGGTGAGCAATTGTATTGTACATCACCTGTTTTGTGTATTCTATTATTATTGTTGTTGTTATTATTATTATTGTTATTATTATTTTCCCTTCCTTTTCTGTCCTATTAAACTGTCTTTATCTCATCCCACGAGTTTTACTTTTTTTTCCAATTCCTGCTCTTACCCGTTTTGGCAGGGGGGGAAGAGTGGGCAGCTGTGTGGTGGTTTGTTGCTGGCTGGGGTTAAACCACGACACACTGACAATGTTCTCTGTTGATCACAATCTTTGGCCTATGTCAGACAAAGCAAAGCAATGAATATCAAAATATTCACTGAGCTGTTTACAAGATGCTCTTTCTTCACTGGACAGTAGGAGGAGCAATGAGAGCTCCAGCTCCCAGAAACTAAACAGAAAGAAACTTATCATTTATAATGCCAGGAATAAAGACACTATCTTCCCAGTTCTAGTCTAGAGGGGACTACAGCAAAGTTGGTTCGGCATAATTGTTGTCTACATTATATACAGAAAGAACTGTAACTTTGTAGGGAAAACTGTGTGTTTGGTTGGGGTTTTGTTCATTCAGTAATGGCAGCACTTCCTTCGAGGGACCAGGGGTACCATTGGCTAACAATTATTGAAAGCATATAAGTAATAGAACAGGAACAGCTCCTAATAAACATCCATCAAAAAGTAATATTCTGCATTACTGAAGTGAAAGCTACATAGGATATTTGGTAGCAATTATTAAATTTTGATATAACAAAACATATATTAACAAACTGAGATTTTACTTCATTAAAAATGTTTCATCCTTTTCTCTGTCCCCTCCCTCTAACACATTTAGTGATAAGAAGGATATTTAAATACCAAAACTAATCTTAGATCACTGAAAAGCAGGACTCAGGCTGGAAGTGTCCAAAAGTTATGGTATTTTGATGAATGCCCTCTACAAGAAAACCCCACCAAACAAAACCCAAAGCCCACCAAAATGACCACAAACAAATCACCACTTTCTATTCACTAACAATGTGATAAATAGTCTCAATACAGGATTTAAGTGCTGGCCGACCTCTGGGATTCAAACTAGTCCTCATTTCTCCTATCCCATAGTCCTGTTACTCAGGAATGTCAGTGGTGGGGCCAGTCAATGTAATTTAAACAATCATTTCCCACGTCTCTTGTAAATAAGAATCATTCTCCAGCACTGCTTACTTTTTGCCTTTAAAAAATTTTCCTTTACATGAGACATTTTTTGAGAACTTGAACTTTGTGCAATTCTCTCTTTACTAGTCATGTTATCATGTAGATTTTAGTAAGTATATCAGAGAAATCTACAAGCAAATCAGATTATGAGTTCAGAGACTTCCCACACGGTTTTGCATTAATCCCTACACTGAGAACAGTAACTCCTTTGAAAGCAAAAGGAAACAACTGCAGACTTCATTCCACGAGTGAGTATGGGTTCAAATCCACCCTCAGGAGCACTTCTGAATCCCATAAATATTAGAAGAATGGCTCAAGTTTGCATACTGAAAATGACCCTGCTGCTTTTTAAAGTATACAATAGGGAAGTAGAGCCAACAAGAATGGAAATGGCATTCTTTTAACAAGCTGATTATTTAATACAAAGCCTCCTTCAGGAAAATAAGCAAAGGCACTGCCAAACATTACTGAAATTTTACAAGGGTTTAATGCCATATAAGCTGTTTTTCTTGTGGATTTTTGGTGGGTTTTTTGTTTTTGTTTTTTTATTATTATTTATTTTATTTCTTTTAATGTATAAGAGAGCCCTCTCAAAGCTGGATAAATGTAGCAAAAGAAGCATTCACTCAAACTCCAAATGACTACTGAAATTTAGTATTTTTAACACCCTGATATTTATGAGTTTCCATCAATGCCTACAAACTCTCACATATACTTTTCACATAATACCTGTACTGATAAATGAGAAAGGGAACATGAGGTCTCTGAGAAGGAACTGGGGAAATGAGGAGAAGTACGAGAACAGGATATTTCACTATTAGTCAATGATCATTTATGCCCTCTTTGAAGGTCTCATTCTTCTAAACAAGAAGCAAGGCCAATGTAAGATATAGATATGCAGCTCTACAACACATAAAAAAAGTATCCTTCTTAAAGTTCTTATTTATGAAATAGTTTTAGTTTTGTACAACGCAGTATATATTGACAGAAGTAGAGGTGCCTTTGCCTGACAATTTGGGCATAAGTAATAATGAGTCCTAATTATGGTAAAATTTCTAATTGCTACAAATACTAAGCAGGTGGCCATGAATATCACTCACTGACTCCCAGTTTGAAAATATTTAAGATGTTTTCTAATCAACATCTTCCTCAACTCTCTCCTCAGTTGAAAGGCAAGTCCTATTAAAGGAATTATTTTAAAATTTGGCACAAATAGCATATAAACAATAGCAGATTTTTGTCCCCATTGGAGACTTATGCTTCTGCTGGTTTATGTTACCAGATGTAAACATTTGTTCTCTCTAGAAAGCTTAGGAAACAATAAATTCAATACCTGAGCACAGATTCTCTTTGTGTCAGTGGCACGGTAATTAACACTTTTTTTCCAGTAATGCACACATGTGTGCACACACATGCACACAAACACACATGCAGAGTAAGAAGCAGATTTTTGCCTTGCCAAGTCTGCTTTGTATCATTCTCACACAACAAAGCAGACTGACACCAAACAGAACAAAAAGCACCAGTAGAAAAACAGGATAATTTCCTGGGAAAATAGGACTGAAATAATGGTTAGCAGAGGGGTCTGGCTGAGGAAATAAGGACTGTCAGGATCCATATGACTGTTGTCTTACAAAGTATCCAAAAGAACACTTCCTTCCATTGAAACATAATTTAGATAAACACTGCTTTTGTCTGTCAGTCAGTCTGGGCTGGGCTGTGCCTCACTGAGGATGGAGCCTTTCCCAGCTCTTTGGAAGGCAACTGGTGTGTGCCAACATTTGAAATGTTAGCAAATTCTAAGAACAATTTGGTGGTGGGATCTCTCAACATCAGGCAACCACAGGATGTTTACCATCTTCTCAGCCATTCCCTTCCTAGATCTGTTCCCAAAGCAAGTGTTTGCACCAGTTTCCACAGAGTATAAAAGCACAAACATTATATAATAGATGACTTGTTTCTCATAAGCCAGAATAAATTCTTTTTCCATAAAATAAAGTCTACAAATATTTTTTCTTCTAAGTCTAAAGATACTTAGTTACTTCCTAAGGTTGAGACTGATTCATGGCAATGTTGACCATGTTGGCAAGCTGAGGATCACTTTCACTGATTTTGTGTGCAACATAAAGATCAAAGTAATCCACAATGGGTCTTTTTTTTCCCCTCCTCAAAACTGTGAAGGAACTGCTGACCATTAACTATAATATTGCTGAAAACATAATTTCTAAGACATCAGCTGAGCTTTTGCTTGCCCAAAGCAAACCACAGTTTCTCTTTTGTTTCATAGGACAGAGTAAATCACTGTAAGAATGGCAGGAAAGTCATCTGTGTTGACCATTAACATAGGCTGTGCTGCAGTCTGAACAAAACAGATGAAAGGAAATACACAGAAAGCTACTTGTGGCAGCAGCAATGGACCTGACATTACAAGTGAGACAGAAAAACAGAACTCTGGTTTATTCCTTAGTTATAACTGTCATTTAGCTGGATATCAGGACTGTCCCTGTGTGCACACTCAATGCACTAAAATCACTGACTCCCTGGGAGAGTGGTCCGGGAACTCCACAGCACATCCCTGAATAGACAAGATGTTCAACTGGCTTGAGACAATGGAGTGGGCTGAAGCAATGTGACAGACCCAGCTCATCACCATTTTCATCACAAAGCATTTGATTAACTCTTGTAGGAGATCTTCAGGGGGTGACTTCAGACAGTCCTGAAGATTCCCCTCAGGCAACTCCTGCTGTGTCAAGACAAATTTTTTGCTTACAGCAACTTGGGTGAAGAGTCTGGCCCTTCCAGGCGGTTTTTGTGGCAGAGCTGGCATAGATTAAATACTTGTAAATAGTCAGTAGAAACGGTTCCTGCAAGTGGAGAAACAGTTTTGTAAATGGGAGTTGGAGATAATTCAGTTTTGAGATTCTGTGATAACCTCTAGCAATGGATGATGCATGAGCTGGAGCGGTCATGTAGGACCACAGTCCAGCTAAGTTATAAGTGAGCAGAACATCACTTTGGGTAATCTCATCTGTGACTCTCCCAACAGATTCTGATTGCCACCCAGACAGCAATGACTATCCTGTTCAAGAGATTTGATTTCCCATGCAAGTATTATTTTATGCCAAGATAAACTACAGGTTTTAGCAAACACTCTGCCCATAGGTGTCTACGTAACACTAGTTTTGGTGTAACCTAGAGCAGGTGTGAGAGATGAAAGCATTCCCAAAGAGACAAATGGCAGAGTGGAACAGAAGTTGGCTCAAGCAGGACAGAGAGCAGACTAAGCAGAAACACTACTTCAGAGAAGTAACAAGTGCTGACATTTGAGCAATAAATTGCAAAAGTAACGGGTCTTTCATGTTTTTTTTCACTCAGTTGATTTGTTCATAGCACATTTGGAGCCATTAGAAGGGAAATTTATCCTGCTGAAGATGACATTGAATGGTCTTGGACAAACCTTAAGCCTTGAGAACGACATCTCCCCACAATCAAGATATTTAATACTATCACCATCTACTAGTTTCTTCTGGACACTGGTGACTGGGATTTTTTCTTTCTATTCCTACTTTTTGCTTTTCTTCCCAAAACCTCTGTAGGAACTAATTTTCAATAGAAGCTTTAATTTTTGTTTAACAAGGTCATTGCTAATGTTTCATAATTGGCATGATAGTTATTTTTTTTTGTTAAAAATGAACTTCAGTGAGCACAAGGCATATAACTCATGAAGGGGGTTTTTGCAAGATGGAAAAAATAACTGAGTGATATGGTCAGTTCTTGAGAATGCTGCAAAAAGAAGTAGGGTAAGGACAAAGCACTTTCCACTTTAAATTATTCTATATAATTTTTGGTGGATGATGACTTTCTTGTCTAAACTACCAATAAATAAAGGCTTTTCTGCGAGTTCTGCAAGGGATTAACTCCTGATCTCCTCATCTACACACTTTCATACATAAGCTTTAAAACCCTGTGGGAATACTGCGACTTTGTACTATGGTAAGAGACAAAACCCTCACTGATTTTCTTTCCTAATTTGGCTAGGAATTGGTAATTACGTTGTATACACTATATCTAATCTGATCTTAAATTTTTGTCATATAAAGCTGCAGCTGCTAATCTGCAAAGAAAGACATTTCTTCCAATTTTCAGATCAGTGAGTAGTCTCTACATCATGGAAACAAATTCACACTAGTATAACAAATACTGTTTATCTGTTGGCCCATGTAAAATCTTAAGCATCAATGTATGGAGGCTTCTCAACCACAGAAGCTGTGATAAAATTTTGTTGAAATAAGTGCTACTGGCCTTTTAGATGCTTTGAAATACTCAGGTTCAATCGCTGTTAAATCCTAGAGCAATTTCCCTTACACACAAAGAAGATGCAGAACTTCTGGCACTTTTTACTACCGTTTCTGTTCTCACACATCAATGCATGATCATAAATGATTTAATGTAATAAAGAATTCTTTGCACAATGGAGAGAACCGGTTTTGACTAACATAATGAAAAAACATCTAAATATATTAGGAAACAAAGGAAGAAGGAACCAAGGGAGTTTTGCTGCAAATATTTCATACCTTCATCTAGATATATAGTATGTGTGCATATATATACACAGACATAAAATAGATTTATACTCTTTTTGAACATTGCCAACATACTTGTTCATCCTTAATTGTAAGTTATCTTCTCAGAGACTAAACAGATTTACATATGTTTGAAAGTTTCACCCCAGGCCAAACGGAAATTTATTGTAAGAAACTGATCCACTTTAAGAAGCACCTACAATTTAAGGTGATTGTATCACTGGATTTCATTATGTAAGAGAACATACTGACAGGTACCATAATGGGAATGGGAATAAAAGAAATCTCATTAAAGTGGTCTTAGAAGACTGAAGTTTATTCAGCCTACAGCTGTGCTGTACTATCATAGTAGCCAGAATGAAGCAGGCAAGGAAGTTCTGACAAAGATTTCAGAAAGAACAAGACATTTTTGACAAAACCAGGCAAGAGAAAGAGAAAACTTATATTCTTTAAAGAGCCAGAAGTTTGTAATACCATAGAGCAATATGAAATTTTACAGTGTCATCCATCTGTTTCAGGAGCCTGTGATATCATAACTATCAAAAGTTTCAGGACATACTTTCAATATACAGTTACTTTCCTTCTGAGTTATTACTGACAAAAGTAATTGTTGAATCTAGGTGCAGAAAATTAATTTGGCCTCTTGGTAAAATTTTATCAGAGTGGTGATCTCTTTCATACCTCTAGCAGAAAGACAGAAAAATAAAGGAAAAGTTTTCTGGTACCACTCACAGGCACACACAGAGGCCACGCTATCACTTTCATACAATTTTAGTGCAGTAGCTGGACTGTAATAGCTTTTGGACACCTGTACATTGTAGTGCAAGATGTAGTACATTATTGTTTGTGACACCCTCAAACACCAATTTACTAGGCTACAGATTGCTCTGAGCCCAATAAATCTTTACAAACCCATCTAGAGTGGCTGAAGAACACTTTCCTCCCCCTCTTTCTCCCTTCCCTTTGGTAGAGCTGGGTTGGTTGGGTTTTGGGGTTTTTTTTTTTTTGCAAGTGTTCTACCTCAGATTTTGTCAGCCTGCAGTATTGAATTTTTCTGTTGTGTAATGATGGAAAAAGGCCTAGAAAACTGTTCCAGTTTTGTAACGCAAATCACATTGAGAAGAGTCATTTATGTAGTTAAAAGGAAAAAATAGAAAACAGTTATCTCACCAGCTAGGTATATTATTACTATCTTATTTTAAATGCTATGAAAGCTGTAAAATAAAGCCGGTTCCTAGGGAGAAATGGTTTTTACTCTCACTTCCTCAGTTTCTACATACAAAAGACTATTGCAAGCAGCTGGAGCTCCACCTATGTCTAAGTGGGAGCTACATGCACTCTACAGTGTGTTATCTTTAAAGTCAGGTAAGATCAAGAGGCATGTTCTGGCTGTGTCTACATAGATACTCCCATCAAACAGCTCTCCAGCTAAATTTCAGTTTTCAGGCATCCTAAATTTGCATCTGCACCGCTGAGCTTATTGCACATTAAGCTCATCCATGCAGCAGGCAATTTTTTTGGGCTAACAACAGTTTTCTGCTGTCGATATGTACAATTTTATACTAACCAAAGCTATTAATCCTGCTTTTATGCGGGGAGGGGGAAAGAAAAAAATTTTTTTAAAAAAGTCTCCATTGCGATGAGATTCTCTGCATTTCATAATCACTTCAAGCAATTACTTTTGCACATTTTTAGCTCACAGGTGCAGAAACTCTACCATTCCCTCCTCTGTTTCACTATGTATGTTTGATTATTTTTATACTGCTTTCCCAGAAGTTATTGACAACATGCTGACAGTGGGGAATACACAACATCTCACAGAGACACTCTGGGAGTGCATGTACAAGAACACATTTTCCACGTCACTCTCAGTGAATTTACAGCCCAATGTACTGAGAACAAACAGTAATCTGCTGCTCACCATCAGAGACCTCAACATCCATCCTTGAGAGAAATGTCTTAAAAGCAGATAACTTCTGTAATTTTAGGTTCTGCTTCAAGCAAGCAAATGATGAGAACAAGCTGCCAATAGCTGTGCAGAGACAGAAAGAATCAGTTAAACTACAGAAACCCTCTGGAGGGAGAGTTGGTAGTCTGCTTCATTTACAAAGCTGAGAGGAAGGCAAGAGGTTGATATTTATTTTTTTTTTTTTAGTCTGTTTAGGTAAGTATGGTTTTCAGGACTGACTTGTACATCAGTGGAATAAAACTAATGCATTTTTTAAAAAGCTAAACTGAAAGCAGATTCAGTTGTCCAGGAAGGCAAAACCTCTCTGAGAATGCTAGAAAGCTGTTTCCTCTCTGAATTTTGGACTAGTGGTACTAACAATAGAATAGTTACTGTTCCAACCCAGCATGACTCAGGGCAATCCCAAGCACAAACACAGGCTGGTCAATGAGTGGATTGAGAGCAGCCCTGTGGAGAAGGACTTGGGGGTATTGGTCAGTGGAAAACTGAATATGAGCCAGCAATGTGCGTTTGCTTTAATCATCTCTTTCCAGCTCTAATCTCCCAAAACCAACATATCTCATCTGCTAAAATTAATCTCTCTCTTTTCTATGAGCACATTAGTTGTGTTCACATCAGTTTGTCAGCTGTAATTAGCCCACAGGTACTTCCAGACACATAATGACGCTTGATTTCTCTTTAGATGACAGAAAAAGGTCAAATCCAATAAGCTAAATTTTAAAGGTGAGTTCAAGTGGTCACCTGTGTTGAGGTAGGATGCATTGGTGGAGTTCTTCTTGTCCCTATTTGGTTGAGTTCCGCCCAAATATGAACAGCCAGTTACAAATTCAACTATAGCTAATTGTTCCTCTTCAGGGAACTCCTTCCAAAGACACTAGTCACAACTCCCCATTTGTTTACAGTAAATAATTTGTTCACATGGTACAAGGAAAGACATATATATAGTGAGAGGTAGAGAAATGTTTCCTATTTCTGCATCCCAAAGAGATAAAAATGCTAAATGACCTCTTCCTTTGCATCTGATTATCTTCTTTCCTTATGAGCAATGAGACAGAAGAAAATAAAATTAAAAAGGGTTGAGACATGACATAACCAAGAATGTTTATCTGAAGTGCAATGGAAGCCTAAAAGCTTCATAAATATTTTCAGAAAAGGATGCTTCCATATGCACAGGAGTCCCTTGTTAAAGGCTTAGAGAACTTTGGAGCCCAAATTGGGGATGTTTTAACTGACATCCAAAGTAAGTAATGCCACGGACTAGAGAATCTGAATTGTTCTTTAAATTGGTGACACCTAAAATCACCTTAATCTG